ATATATATATATATATATATATATATATATATATTTATTTATTTATTTATAATTTTGAACATATTCAGTAACTACGAATATAGAGTTCTGTAATTATGAATATAGAGTTCAATAATTATGAATATGAAGATCAAAGATTATGAATATATAGCTTTATAATAATGAACATATAGTTAAGTAATTATGAACATAAAACTATGTCGACCTTGCAAGGTGGACACGGTTCCACAGCATAACTATTCGATTGATCCTGTTACATGTAGTATATGTTCATATAAAGTTTCTCAACATATTGAAGCCCAACGTGTAAAAAAGACTCTAATTTAAGAAACATTATCTTAATGGCTTCTTATTTTAGTTTTTTTTTTTAATTTTTTTTAATTTATTAGGGTGTTTGGGAAAGATTAACCCAAAATGTATATGAGTTATTTTAGTTTTTAACAATTTCGAGCAAATTGTTAAGTTATTAAATAATATTTTTGGTGTTTTGATTAAATATAAAAAATTAAACAGACGAATTTCTTAAAATTTTGGCAAATTTGCCAAATAATTAAATTACAACAACAACAACAACAACAACAATAACAACAACAATAATAATAATAATAATAATAATAATAATAATAATCCAAACAAAATTATATACAAAACAAAATTAAATTAAAAAAAAAAAAGACAGAGGGGAGTCACGGGCTCCTTTTGTAAATGATGTGAGATCATTTTGATCCCACATTGAAAATGTTTCAAAAGAGAGAATTTCTCTATATAATAGGAGCAATGATCCTCTTACAAACATAATTGTTTGTCCATCAATGTGGGCAAGTATTGAGAAGTCAAAAGGTTCTTAAGAAGCCTTTAACTTTGTCTTCTTATTTTAGTTTTTATTTATTTATTTATTATTAGTGGTTGTTGTGAAATATTAAACCAAAATGTATGTGTTGTATTAGTTTTTAGTCGTTTGGAGCAAATTGCTGAGTTATTATATAATTTTTGGCGAATTTATCAATAATCAAATAATAATAATAATAATAACAATAATAATAATAATAATAATAATAATAATAATAATAATAATAATAATAATAATCATCCAAACAAAACCATATACAAAATAAAATTTAAATTTAAAAAAAAAATAAGAAGAAGACAAAAGGAAGCCACGGGCTCCCCTTTGTAAATGATGTTGGATCATTTTCATTCCACATTGAAAATGTTTGGAAAATGAGCTATTGAGCTCCTCTTACAAACATAATTGTTTGCCCATCAATGCGGACAAATATTGAGAAGTCCAAAGGCTTTTTTTTTTCTTTTTTTTTTAGTACTATTGACCCGTCAAATTATGTTGTGGAATCGTGTTCACCTAGCAAGGTAGACACGGTTCTAAAATTGTTCATAATTATGAATATATAGTTCAAAAATTATGAATATATAGTTTTATAAGTATGAACATAATGTTGTGAACATAATTATGAACATATAGTTATGTAATTATGAATATAGAGATTCAATAATTGTGAATATGAAGTTAAAAAAATTATATATATATATATATATATATATATATATATATATATATATATATATATATATATATATATAATTATGAATATATAATTCAGTAACTATGAACATAGAATTCTGTAATTATGAATATGGAATTCAATAATTATGAATATGATGTTCAAAGATTATGAATATTTAGCTTTATAATGATGAACATATAGTTAAGTAATTATTAACATAAAAATGTGTCCACCTTGCAAGGTGGACACGGTTCCACAACATAACTATTCGATTCACCCTGTTACATGTAATATTTGTTCATATAAACTTTCTCAACCTATTGAACACAACATGTCAAAAGACTCTTATTTAAGAAATTATATCTTAATGACTTCTTATTTTAGTTTTTTTTTTTTTAAAAATTTTTAAATTTATTAGGGGTTTTGGTAAAGATTAACCCAAAATGCATGTGTTCTTTGAGTTTTTAGCAGTTTGGAGCAAATTGTTAAGTTATTAAATAATATTTTTGGTGTTTTGATTAAATATAAAATGTTAAACACACAAATTTTTTAAAATTTTGGCGAATTTGCCAAATAATCAAATTACAATAACAACAACAACAAAAACAACAACAACAATAATAATAATAATACAAACAAAACTATATACAAAATAAAATTAAGTTTAAAAAAAAAAAAAGTGGAGTCACGGGCTCCCTTTATAAATGATGTGTGATCATTTTGATCCCACATTGAAAATGTTTGAAAAGAGACAGCTCCTCCATATGAGAGGAGCATTGCTCCTCTTACAAACATAATTGTTTGCCCAACAATGTGGGCAAGTATTGAGAAGTGAAAATGTTCTTATTTAAGAAGCCTTTATTTTGTCTTTTTATTTATTTATTATTTATTTATTTATTAATTAATTATTAATGGGGGTTGTGAAAGATTAACCCGAAATGTATGTGTTGTATTAGTTTTTAGAAATTTGGAGCAAATTATTAAGTCATTATATAATTTTTTTTTAGTGTTTTGATTAAAGTTAAAATCGAATTTGTTAAAATTTTAGCGTATTTATCACTACTACTACTACTACTACTACTAATAATAATAATAATAATAATAATAATAATAATAATAATAATAATAATAATAATAATAATAATAATAATCCAAACAAAACGATAAACAAAATAAAATAAAAATTTAAAAAAAATAAGAAGAAGACAAAAAGCAGCGACGTGCGCCCATTTGTAAATGATGTTGGATCATTTTGATCCCACATTGAAAATATTTGGAAAGATGAGCTTTTGAGCTCCTCTATATAAGAGGAGCAACGCTCCTCAACGTGGACAAGTATTGAAAATTCCAAAGGCTTGTGTGTGTGTGTGTGGACCCGGCAAATTATGTTGTGGAATCGTGTCCACTTACAAGGTAGACGATGTTATAAAATTGTTCATAATTATGAATATATATAGTTCAAAAATTATGAATATATAGTTCTATAATTATGCACATAGTGAAAATGTTTGAAAAGATGAGCTCTTGAGCTCCTCTATATAAGAGGTACAAATATAATTGTTTGCCCATCAATGTGACAAGTATTGAGAAGTCAAAAGGTTATTATTTAAGAAACTTTAGTTTTGTCTTCTTATTTTAGTTATTTATTTATTTACTTATTATTTATTTATTATGTATTGTTTATTTATTTATTTATTTATTATTTATTATGTATTATTTATTTATTTATTATTAGTGGGGGTTTGGAAAGATTAACCCAAAATGTATGTGTTTTTTTAGTTTTTAGCAGTTTGGAACAAATTACTGAGTTATTAAATAATATTTTTGGCATTTTGATTAAAGATAAATTGTTAAAATGACGAATTTTTCAATAATCAAATAATAATAATAATAATAATAATAATAATAATAATAATAATAATCCAAACAAAACGATATACAAAATAAAATTAAAATTAAAAAAAAAAAAAGACAGGCTCCCTTTGTAAATGATGTGGGATCATTTTGATCTCACATTGAAAATGTTTGAAAAAATGAGCTCTTGATCTCATCTTTCAAACATAATTGCTTGCCCATCAATGTGGACAAGTATTGAGAAGTCCAAAGTCTTTTTTTTTTTTTTTTTTTTTTTTGAGCGAAGTAAAGGAAAATTAAAAATGGAAAGAAAATATTTTAATAATAATATTTTACATCATCAAATAGTAAATGCATATTTTAAAAAAATAGTAATGGTAAATTAAAAATGGAAAGAAAATAGTTCATTAATAATATTCTAAATCTTCAAATTAAAATGGAACTGAAAATAGGTAAAAATATCACTGCATCTATATTTTAATTGACTAATTGACTGAAAATAAAAAAAGAATAATTGACTGAAAATGAATCTAATATTACTAATTGACTGAAAATATAAAAGGAAATGAATATTGATAATTGATTGAAAATAAAAAAAAATGATCCATAATTGACTAAAACAATGGTCAGATCATTGCATTTTAATTAAAAATGTAATGAAAATTAAAAATTAGAGAAAAATATTTTAATAATAATATTATACATTATCAATAGTAAATCATATTTTAAACAATAGTAAAGGTAAATTAAAAATGGAACAGAAATATTTCAATAATAATATCTACATCATCAAATAAAAATGGAACGGAAATTAGGTAAAAATATCACTGCATTAGATATTCTAATTGACTAATTGATTGAAAATTAAAAAAAAAATTGTCTGAAAATGACTAATTGACTGAAAATATAAAAGGATAACTAATTGAGTGATATTTTACCATTATATATTTTCACCCAAGTAACCCGTCTTGATGGAGTGAAGGTGTTAACTCTAGACGAAGATGAACAAGATTGTGTTGCCACTACCAATGTCGTCTACAAAGAGGTTTCAATTATGTGTAAATATAATCAGTGATATTAATATTTGTTTTAAATGAAAAAATTGTTATATATCTAGACAAATATATATATATATATATATATATATATATATATATATATATATATATATATATATATATATATATATATCTTCCATACAAATGAATAATGATAACAATTCATTTCTATAACTGAGTTGTTAGAGAACGAGCACATTTGTCTAATTTATGAAAATACTAAACAATGATAAATAAAATCTTCAAAGTTATAGCACCGCATGCGTACATCTAGATATTAGCTATTCATTTGAGCAATTATGTGTACAAATTCAAGCAATGATAACATTAAAATATATAAACGATCCAAATCATATCTTTAATTGTACTATATAATATTTGATGTTCTAATTTAAATAATTATATATCCCTTAATATATTCTCAATATATTACAAAAGTTTAACCAAACAAGGTAATACAATATTATCAGACTCATATGACCTAAGTAATCAAAGATGACTTGATTTGGGGAATTTAAGTGGGAATGTAATTTACTTTAACCAAACGCCTTGTAAAGCGCTTATTGTGTGGGGAAATGCAATAAATTATTTCTTCCGGAAAGGTAAAAGAATCAATCACTTTCCGGAATTTGGAGTGCACGATCTTCTTACGTGCGCTGATTGCCCGCAAGTCAAGTAGATATTCTCCCGCCAAGCCATTTTCATCAGTAACGCTCCAAATTCCCCCAAATCCCTTCTCCGCTACCGAACTGACAGCAATCGGCTATTTTCCGGCAGCAAAATGGAGCTTCCGGTGATCGATTTGAGCTCGTACTTAGAATTCTCGAACCAACTCGGCTCCTGTCCGGAGACACAGCTGGATCCCCAACTTTTGACGCTTTGCTCCGAAGTGAGCCGAACCCTAGCAGACACCGGAGCTCTGCTGGTGAAAGATCCACGCTGCTCCGCCGAAGACAACGATCGGTTCATCGACATGATGGAGAAGTACTTCGAGCAGCCGGAAGAATTCAAGCGCCTCCAGGAACGTCCTCACCTCCATTATCAGGTCCTCCATTTTTCCAACATTTATATTTCACACCTATGCTTCCATTTTGTTTTTAAAATTATTTTGATTTTGATTTTGATACGTGCTCCTAATACGCACGTACAAAGTTCTCCCCATTCTCCGTATTTATATATCTTTTTGACTTTTTCTCTGCATTGATAATTTGTAATGTTGAACTTGAGTAAACATTATTATTATTATTATTATTATTATTATTATTATTATTATTATTATTATTATTATTTAGACTGGTCTCAAATACGTTTTTGTGTAATTATTATTACTTGTGACAAAAGATGTAAGAATTAATACCAGGAATGGTCATTGACCTTGATTTAGACTGGTCTCAAATTTGTTTTTTGGTAATTATTATTACTTGTGACAAAAGATGTAAGAGTTAATTTCAAGAATGGTCATTGACGATCGATATTTATCAATTTTTATTTTTTGATTTTCAATTGGATCATAAATGGTCAATTGACTATTGATCTTTATTAATTTTTGTTTTGAAAAAAATCAATAGTTAAGGACCACTTTTGATTAAATTGAAAGTCGAGGATGAAAATGAATAAAAGATCAATAGTCAAGTAATCATTTATGGTCCAATTGAAAGTGGAAGGATAAAAATTGGTAAATAACAACACTCAAGGGACCATTCCTCGAATTAACTCAAAGATGTAATTATTATTACTACTACCATGGAGAACAACGTATGTGGTCGCTAAATTACACTCAATCTCTTGGTGATTTGTGTTTACCTTTTGACCCTTAGTTATTTCTGAAGTGTTAATTTTGATCATATTCCATTAGGTTTGAACAAAAAAAGCAATAAAAAAGCTTAAATGACAGCTGTATAAATGGAAATTTGATTTTATCCTTTTCTCTTTATATTAGACAAATGTTTCCAATTTTTTAGTGAGTTTATTTGACAAATTTTGTTCCAATTTGAGGTAAACAAAGGTAAAAATCCTATATAGAAGCTTGAAGTTTGTCAATAAACTCACTAGAAGAGTAGAAGACCGGAAATGTTTTTCTCATATAATCAGAAGAAGAAGAAATCTGAATTTCATATTTACCCTTGTCATTTAAGCTTTTTTTTTTATTGGTTTCTTGTCCAAATCTAAAGGAATATTAACAAAAATGACCAAAATCGCCATTTGAGAATAATTGATGGACAAAAAGTAGACACAATAGTCTATACCTAACTTAGGAACCAAATATTCTATTTTCTTTATTATTATTATGATTATTATTATTGTTGTTGTTGTTGTTGTTATTGTTATTATTATTTCAGTTTTTACTAATTCTATTCTTGCAGAATAGTATGTGGTTTTGCAAAATTTGGTTCACTTGTGGGAATTCAGTATAACAATACCCTTAAAATCAAAGAAAAGGAAAAACAGAAAACCTTTCTAAGGGTTACAGGACAGTTCATTATGCAATCTTCTTCTTGCATTTGCATTAAGAGCATTATATTGAATAATTTCTGTTGATGCATTTGACTTATTTATAATAAATGCTCTTTTGTGCTATGTTTCACATTTTGTACTTCTGGTTTTGTTTATCCTTTAACAGAACATAATGAAGGGAAATCTCAGATTAACAAAGTAGGTGTTGTGAATAATATGATGCTCCAGCAAAGCATGGATAGATTGTCATCTTAAATTGTGTTCTGGAACTTAGGTACATAGTTTTTAAAAATCTTTTGCTGGCAATTATTGTTAGGTTGGAGTGACACCTGAAGGAGTTGAAGTACCTCGTAGTCTGGTTGATCAAGAAATCCAAGAGAAGCTAAATGCTTTGCCCAAAGAGTGTCGACCATTTCCTCTCTCTGGGCCAGACCCTAAGTGGCGGTACATGTGGAGAGTTGGTCCACGACCAGCAGTCACCCGCTTTAAGGTTCCTCATTTCATAAACCTTTTTGCTATAATGTGGTACTTAAGATTATTGTACTCTATACTATAATTACCATTACACTTCTGTAGGAACTGAATTCAGAGCCAGTCATACCTGAAGGATTTACTGAATGGAAAGACACCATGGATTCATGGGGCCATAAAATGATATCTGCCATAGAGGTAAGTCATCATCAGGTTTTTTCTTGTCATTTACAAAACTTTTCAGCTCTTAGAAATACACATCACATCTGTATTTTTTTTCAGACTGTTGCTGAAATGGCAGGTGTTGGGTTTGGCTTGCCTAAGGATGCATTCACTTCTCTAATGAAGCAGGTAATATGATTTTTTATTATATCACCACTTATTGTGGATCTGCTGTCTATTACAATGGCATAAGTTCATTTAGATCAGAGAAGATAAAAGCTGCATTAAGTTTTGGTTATGACGTATTTTTCTGAATTTAGGTGGCCATTTAAGAATGTGCTTATGCTTCTGAAAATTCTAAACAGTTTTGATACACCAAGTTTCAGATTTGTTTCTTTCACGGGTGGAAAATTGGTGTCAAATATTTGTAGGATTGTGCACATGAGAATATTGTATCATTATGCACTTGCCAAAGTAAAAGTTTTCTTCATGACCTCAATGTTCTGTGGATAATACTGATATACTCCAATTTTTAGGGACCTCATCTCCTTGCTCCAACTGGAAGTGACCTGAAACGTTATGGCCAGGAGGGTACTGTCTTTGCAGGATACCATTATGACCTTAACTTTCTTACAATTCATGGGAGAAGTCGATTTCCTGGTTTAAATATTTGGCTAAGAAATGGACGAAAAATGGAAGTGAAGGTTCCTGTTGGATGTCTCCTCATCCAAGCAGGAAAGCAGGTATGAACTTCAAGTGCACTTCCCTATTAATTATTGACAACGTGGACTGTTTCCACAATTCCACCATAAGTAAAGCACTTTAGAGAAAAGCGACTGCAATTATCACTGATCAAAAGTGAAATCCCTTGCACCCCTTGTTGAGTTGATTTCTTTTTAACACCTTCTGCTTGTCCTACCCTGTGTCAGGCATATATAGGCTTGCTGGGCTTGGGAAGTTAGATGAAGCTTACCTTATATCCCATAGATTATCCCTTGTTGGGTAATATGGGATGTAAAAGCTTAGGTTTTTTTTTTTTTTTAAATTATTGTTATTATCATTAAGGAGTTCTTTGACTTTAAGTCACCTACTGGTGAGAGGAATGGAACTTGAGTTATCCTCTCTCTGCAGTTCTAGAACTCTATGCACTAGACAATTTAAGGGGTGCAAGGCTGAAGTTGAGCTGTATTTGACATTTTCTGAAAGGAGTTCTATTCTTGTAAAATAATTAGAAACGTATTTTCTCTCAAGGAGATGTTACATATTTCCCGGAAAAGAACAAAAATGGTCCCATGCCACAGATTTCAACATCATTTTTTTTCACTTGTTATGCTGTCAGCTAGAGTTGATTGTCTTCAACAATTTCTTTTAGTTAAAGTCATTAAATTTTCACAATTTGAAATGTGCAGATAGAATGGTTGACTGCAGGGGAGTGCATGGCTGGCATGCATGAGGTTGTTGTAACTAATAGAACAACTGATGCAATTAAACAAGCCTTGGAGCAAAAACACAGCCTATGGAGAGTATCTTCAACTGTGAGTGAAACTAGTTCATACATTGTTAATTTTTATTATATTTCCAATTTCAATAGTTGTTTTAATTCCATATGGGGTCCTCCGAGTATAGTAGTTTTGCCACGTTTAGTACTTAACTTTTAAATTGACCACCCGTGGTCCTTTGATTTTCAAATTGTTACCATCCGTGGTCCAAGATAGTAATAGTCTTAGTATTAAGTGTTTTACAAATTTCAAACTCAGTAATGTCGTCTATGTTTCTTCTTATCTATCTAGCTATTTTCACACATAGCATCAGATGCTGTGTTAAAACCTCTTGGGAACTTTGCTGACAGTCCTCTTGCTGGAAAGTATCCGCCGATTTGTGCTGGAGAATTTGTAGAACAAGAGCTTTCTGTTATTAATCTTAAAGGTAAAAAAGAACCTTTATAACCTCACTATAGCTCTTGGAGTCAAATAACATTTCAAGAAAGCAATCCGGAATGGAATCTTCTCTTCTATGAAATATATTTGGCATAAAAGAGGCAGGTTTCAACTTCACCCATTCAGCCATGAAACGATACAATAATTATATTATGTCCTGTGTACATGAAATGTAATGGTATTTGATTCGTTTTGCCACTCACTATTTGAATTGGGAATTGCTCTGGGCAATTATTGTTTTAGCTGCCGATGATGTATTAAGTTAATTAACTATACCTTTTGTGTTTGAGCAGTGGTTAGTGAGTAATTACTCACTTATTGAAATGACTATCTTGCTCCAAAATGTTCATTTGCTTTATTCAATCAATGCCATTATGCCGCAGAGAACACATTCTACGTTTCTACCAACCCGATTTTTCCTTGGTGGATTTCAAATTCTATTAAGTTGAAACAAATTAATCTAAGTTGGTTTTGTTCACATTATTCTATAATGTCAATGTTGTAACCTGGGGGTGTGGTTGAGTGAAAGGGATTCATCTATCCTTAACCAAAGGTCAATGGTTCGATCATTCGTTTTGGGTATGAAGCAGCCTTAAATCTCTAGGCCAGTTGTCTCACCCAAAAAGGGTGTCCATAATCCAGCGAGGAGATTAGTCACTGTGTCAGACGGTAGAAACCCTGGGTGTCTCACCAAAAAAAAAAATTAATGTCAACGTTGTAAAGACACATTCAAGACTTAGTGTGTTTGTACATATTAAAGTTGATGGCTGGCAAAGTGGCAAGTCATGAAGTTGGAGTTCAGCAACTGTTTCACAGGCACGCAAGTCATATGGTGAGTATGAGGATGAGTTAGGACATAAGCACAGAACATCCCCCACTTGGTGCAATCTGCTGCTATATAGACATAAACTCTGATATTTCACCCCATATTAATCGTAAACTCCTCAATACACATTGTAGCAGTACCAAGGGTCGTGAAAAATGAAGCTTTCAGTGGTTTTGGTGTTGGCGGTCATGGCTGGTTTGGTGGCGGAAAGCAAGGGCCATTCTTGTGGCGCCACTTTCTTCTCGGCGCTTGTTCAGCTCATACCTTGCAGGGCAGCAGTCGCTCCTTTTAGTCCAATCCCACCAAGCGAAGCCTGCTGCGCTGCCCTCAAGGCTCTCGGCCAGCCTTGCTTGTGCGTACTCGTCAATGGCCCTCCCATCTCTGGCGTTGATCGAAACATGGCAATGCTGCTCCCTGAAAAATGCACTGCAAATTTTGACCCATGTAAAAAGCCCCCTCCCATCACTCTCATCTCCCAACCACATTTTCTAACTTTTATACACTGCACTAATCCCACCAAGTTTGAACTAAAATTCCCTTCTCTACTTGTTTAATGTGTGCAGGTGAACTCATGTAGAGAGTGATGGAGAGAGCTTGATACAGAGTAGCAGAATTCCTTTCCTTCTTCAAACATACCAACGTTTATACTTTTTTTTTTTTTTTTTTTAAATTAAGAAATATTACAATGATAGATTAGGGTATAAGGTCTCACTACAAACTGGACAACTTGTCTCAGTTGCAGCCTGGCAAATTTGAATTGTATTTCTCATACTTTCTGTCAGTTCTAAGAGCTTCAGCACACAACTATTCCACATAAAAAATCCCTTCATCATCAGGGTCCTCACCTTCCCAATCCTCATCATCCTCGCTCTGTTCAGATGACTCATTCTTGGCATTACCTTGAAGATCAGCTTCCTTTTTCTCGTTCTCGCGCTTTATTCTATCCAGTATAGCAATAACCTGAAATAATTTTGTTTCGTTGCTAAGCACGAGCTTAAAACGTAAGAGTATAAAATTACTGAGTTATGGGCATATAATACAGGGAGAAATCATTTCTCGTATTCGCAAAACAGGCTAGTGCAGTATGCCATTTTACAAGGACCTTGCCTTTAAAGTTTAAACCTCACAGAAATTATGACTAAACCATGGGCATCACAGTAATTACATAAAACTCATGCTGACAAAGCCACATAAGTATCGTCCAATCAACCATCTAGCAACAATTTTTTCAAGAATATGAAAGAAGAGTGAAGAATGAGAGTTAACTTCGAGCAGATTTTGTGTATCATATATGCATTACTGCATTAGGTTCTAGTTGGGTACTTCAGCAATGCTTCAAAATAAGTCCCTAGACACATCTAAAGCTTTTTACCCACTAATTTCTTCAATGAATCTTTGATGACAACCATATTAAGTTAATCATCAAGTCTTACACACCTGATCTCCTAATTAGTCTAGTAGGAACCTCAGAGACAACACACGCAAACACTTATCCTAAGTGCTAGCTAGAATGATCAATGGTGATGAAACTCTTCAAGTTAGTAAACAAGGATATACTTCTCTTTAAATTACTATGGGACATAACCAGCTTGGTTGGCGTGAGTGACCGTGCACTCTCATCCCTTAAGAGATATCGGGAGTACGAATCTCCTCTCGAATGGAAAAACCAATCTGGCCAGCACTTTGCCCCTTAATTGGGCCGGCCCAGTGCGAATGGGACTAGTCTGTGTATGGTACGGACTTAAAGGTGCCTCCTACAGTTAAGGCCTGCTCCGGACACCTCATGGCTTGACCAAAATATATATATATATATATATATATATATATATATATATATATATATATATATATATATATATATATATATATATATATATATATATATATATATATCCAACATATGCTTGATGGAAGTCTTAAAATTCGATCAGGTGCTAAACCTTATTGTTATCAACTACGTAATCAATTTTATATGCTAGTGTTGGTAACATAAAGTGCAACAATAGTGAATACATAAGAAATCCACACGGAATTCAATTCGCATATTCCAACAAGACAATGAATAAGTACTACTCACCCTGCTTCCTCTCTCAATAGACAGATCTTCAATAAATCGTATCTCTGGAGTAAGTCTCAACTTCATGCGCTTGCCCAGCTCGCTGCGTACATATTTTGCTTTTGACTTTAATCCTGCAATGGCCACTTCTTTTCCTCTTTTGTCCCCAAAAACAGAAACATAGACTTTAACAACCTATGAAGAATGAACCATCCATCAAAATATGCAATCACAGGAAGCTTCATCATGAGGCCAGACAGAAGATGTCTAAATGAAATTTTAAACTAATCCAACAATCTTTTGTTCATTATGCATTTATTTCAATTGCAAAGTCCTCCATCATGCATGAATGATTAAGTGAATCCTCTGAACCAAAACAAGCAGCAGTCTTAGCTCAAGATTATCTTCTTCTCCCTATTACTTTGTGAATAATGCTACAGCAACATATACTACTAAAGAAAACCTTTCAACCATCGCCCCAAAACTACCATAATATACAAAACATGATAAATGGTAAATGAAAGAGTTAATTCCAGAAATGGTCTCTTGACTATCGACCTTTACCAATTTTTATCTTCGACTTTTAATTTGACCATAATTAGTCTTGATTATTGATTTTGTTCCAGATTTAGTCCAACGACTAGATATTCGTTTAGTCGGCCTTAGATTTGCACACTTAAGTGTTGAAACAAAGGATATAATCGCCTCAAATTTGGGGTATGCATCAACTTGTTTTTCACATTCTCACTAATGATGCTCCGAGTGTATGAAGTTTATGAACCCAATTTGTCCATCTTAATAACAGCCAATTTTTACATTCTTACCATTAATTTAAGGGTTACTAAATGGATATTTAACCACCATTTATGATCAAATAACAAGTCAAGGATAGGTAAATGATAATAGTCAAGTATCATTCTTGGAATTAACTTTAAATGAAATGTTGGATGAAAACACGAAACCCCGGCAAAAACTAACCTGCAAATCAGCAGAAACTTCAACGTCGCTGATAGTAGTAAGCGAGGAGAGGTACTGATCAGCTCCGAGAGCGGCTTCCGGCAGTACAGCGTACTGTAAAACCTTATCCGTGAGCAGCATGTCGGAGAGCTCTCTCCTTATCTGCTTAGCCACCATTTTCACTCTCCGAGGATTGGCCATGCATTTGACTAAACTACCCCTGCTGCCATGTCCGCCGCTGGAGGTGAATATCCGGCGCAGGCGGAGAAGATTGGGCGGGGAAATCGACAGCGGAGGTGTGTTTGAGACTGTGATTGAAGATGAGCGTAGGTTAGGGAAAGGACGTAAGTGTGGATTTTGGATGAGAATATGCGGCATTACAACGTCGTTTACTATTGTCTCCGATTATCTTCTCGCCGGCGCCGGTGAGGTATATGGAGAGGAACGAGAAATTTTAGGATATCCGATGCCGATGTCGGAGGGTGTTTTTGGAAATACAATGAACAATTGTCCGGATGAAATATCTATTTGAAGGGACCCATTTAGTATGAGTTCGGCCTGATTAAATGGGCTAAATATGGGCTTTTCATTAAAAATGTTAATTTACGATACTGGCCCATTAATTTCGGGCATTACTCTATCCTGCACCGGCAAATTATATCATGCACCACGGTGCATGATCACCGCGCGTCTTTTTTTTTTTTTTTTTTTTTTTTTTTTTTTTTTTTTTTTTAAATGAAAATAAAAAGTGTTTATTTTTTGTAGTTTGGCGCCCTTTTGCAAAAAGTAACCCTGTTCTTCAGTGTCATTTTGTACACACTGCAGTTTCAGTTCAACACAGCTACAGTTTCATTTCGATATAACTATAGTTTTATTCGATATTTATAGACTCAAATATGTGAAAATGTTATTTAATTTTATTTTATATACACTATAGTTTCATTAAAACACAACTACATGATCATTTTGATATAATTACAGCTTCATTATATAATATACACTCAAATATGTGAAATGTTATTCAGTTTCATTTTATATAAACTGCAGTTTCATTTCACTATAACTACAGTATCATTTTGATATAACTGCAGTGTCGGTTTAGATATACTGTAGTGTCAGTTGGTGTTTAATACACCAAACAAGCGGACTCCGTTAACTATAACGGCGGGCCGTTTCTTTACTTAAAGAAACAACGCCGTTTTTTACCGCGGTGCACATTACGCGGTCTATGATATAACGACTGATCCTGCACCACGGCGCGCATTGCATTGTGCGCCCAGATGCAAAACGACGTCGTTTCAATTATTATTATTTTTTTTTTTGAAATTTCGCTACCTAGTGTTTGGAGTTAATTTTTCTTAAAAAAAAATCTCATGTTCAAAAATATACATAATGTTATACTAGAATACACATAATTGTATACATGAATGTACATAATTATATAACAAAATACACATACTCTTTTAAGAAAATGGTCAAATAGGCCCCTAAACTTTACCCCAAACGTCAGTTAGGTCCCTAAACTTTTAAAAAGTTCAATTGAACACTCAAACATGTCAAATTGGGTCAATGAAGTCCAAAAACCGGTAAATGACTTGTTATTACAGGTCATTTCAATTCCGGCCACCGGTGATGATTTCCGGCCACCGGTGACATTTTACGGCCACCGGCGACATTTTCCGGCCTATTCCGCGAACCAAACGTGCCAATAAAGTATATTATTCTAACTCATAAAATATATTATTCTAACATAAAGTATATTATTCTAACAACAGTAACACATAAAATACATTATCTTACCCCAGAAATTTTATTATTTTAACATATAAAGTACATTATACATTATTTTAATTCATAAAATACATTATTTTAACACATAAAGTACATTATTCTAACTCATAAAATACATTATCTTATCAAAAATTTTATTATTCTAATACATATAAAGTATTTTATTTTAACACATAAATTACATTATTTTAACTAGGAAAGGGTAATTCGGTTTGATTTTTCGGAACCGAACTGTACTACTAATATACCGAACAACCAAATAGTAATGGATTCTTGTATACCGAACATTTCGGAAAAAATCGAACCGAATAGTAAAAAACTTATCCAAGCCGAATACCGTTTTAATAATAATAAAGAGATATCTAAGTCTTTGATATCAACTCCGTCATTCAGTTCGTATACTCACTGGTATCTCATTGGTATCTCTCTTTAAAAATAAAGAGACATTGGACCCCACTAAGGATCGAACACATAATCTCTGGTTCATAGACCAACACTTTATCCATTAAGCCATAGAGTCTTGATGTTAAACAAGAACCTTTCAAACTACGGGTGTGGTTGAGTGGAAGGTGGGTTCATCCATCCTTTACCAAACGTCAATGGTTCGATCCTTGGCTTTGGAAATGTAGCAGCCTTAAATCTCCAGGCCAGCTGCCCAACCCAAAAGAGGTGCCTACAATCCAGCTAGGAGATTAGTCACTATGTCTGACGATAGAAACCCTAGGTGTACCCCCCCCCCCCCCCCCCAAAAAAAAAAAAAAAAAAAAAACAAAACAAAACAAAACAAAAAAACAAGACCTTTTCAATTGCCATATTTTGGGTGAGTTGTTATATCATGGACAGAGTCCACCTTGCAAGGTGGACCCTTATTCTAAATGACGCATAAATTGTATATTTTTAGTATTTGAATTGTGAACTTCTAAAATATAAATTGTGTTTTAAAGTTAAAACGTATAGCAACTGTCATGGTTATCAAATTACAAAACAAACAAGATAATCGGTTACATATATGTTAACATTGTGTGTTCCTCCTTTGCCTTTCTCAATCATTATACCGTGGATGGGCTAGTAATTTTAAATTTTAATTTTGACAACTATTAGGAAATACAACTCTACTGGGGATCGAACCTAAAATATCTAGTTCTGTAGACTAATACCTTATCCATTGGGTCATAGAGTCTTGATGTTAAACAAAATCCATTCAACCAGGGGGTGTGGTTGAGTGGAAGGTGGGTTCATCCATCCTTTACCAAATGTCAAGGGTTCGATCCTTGGCTTTGGGAATGGAGCAGCCTAAAATCTACAGGCCAGTTGTCTCACTCAAAAGAGGTGCCTACAAACAATCCAGGGAGGGGATTAGTCACTATGTCCGACGGTTGAAACCCTGGGTGTACTCCCCCCCCCCCCCCGCCCCCCCCCCCCCCCCCCCCCCCGCACAAAAAAAAAAAAAAAACAAGACCCTTTCAATTGGCATATTTTGGGTGAGTTGTGACAGAGTCCACCTTGCAAGGTGGACCCTAATTCTAAATGACGTATACAAATTGTGAATAGTTGTACCTGGATCGCGGATCCACCTTGCAAGGGAGTCCACCTTGCAAGGTGGACCCTAATTCTAAATGACGTATACAAATTGTGAATAGTTGTACCTGGATCGCGGATCCACCTTGCAAGGTAAACCCGAGTCCACAGAATAATTTGTACTTCTCAATCATTATACCGTGAACCCTTGCCTAAAAGGGCCGCTAGTATTTTTGAATTTAATTATCCTTGGCATTGGGAATGGAGCAGCGTTAAATCTACAAGCCAGTTGTCCCACCCAAAAGAGGTGCCTACAATCCAGCGAGGACATTAGTCACTATGTCCAACGGTTGAAACCCTGGGTGTACCTCACCCCCCCCCCCCCCCCCCCAATTGCCATATTTTGAGTGAGCAGTGACAGAGTTTACCTTGCAAGGTGACCCTAGTCCACAAAATAATTCGACTACACTAGGGATTGAACCCACAATCTCTGGTTTCATAAACCAGCACCTTATCCATTGGGCCATGGATTCTTGATGTTAAACAAAACCCTTTCAACCTGTGGGTGTGGTTGAGTGGAAGGTGGGTTCATCCATCCATAAGCAAACGTCAAGGGTGTGGCTTTGGGAATGGAGCGGCCTTAAATCTACAGGTCAGTTGTCCCACCCAAAAGAGTTGCCTACAATCCAGCGAGGGGATTAGTCACAATGTCCGACAGGCCAGTTGTCCCACCCAAAAGAGGTGCCTACAATCCAACGATGGGATTAGTCACTATGTCCGACGGTTGAATCCCTAGGTATACCACCCCCACCCCCCAATTGCAATAGTCCACAGAATAATTTACACTTCTCAATCATTATACCGTGAACCCTTGTCTAAAGGGCGAATTTTGAATTCTATTTTTATTTTGGACAACTATTAAGCAATCCGACTCTACTAGGGATCGAACCCAAAATCTTTGGTTTCGTAGACCAGCACCTTATTATCCATTGGGCCATGGAGTCTTGATGTTAAACAAAACCCTTTCAACCTGGGGGTGTGGTTGAGTGGAAGGTGGGTTCATCCATCCCTAAACAAACGTCAAGGGTTCGATCCTTGGCTTTGGGAATGGAGCGGCCTTAAATCTACAGGTCAGTTGTCCCACCCAAAAGAGTTGCCTACAATCCAGCGAGGGGATTAGTAACTATGTCCGACGATTGAAACTCTGGGTATACCACCCCCACCCACCAATTACTATCTCAGCGTGCAAGCAATTAGAATCTCTGGTTTCGTAAACCAGCACCTTATCCATTGGGCCATGGAGTCTTAATGTTAAACAAAACCCTTTCAACCTAGGGGTGTGGTTGAGTGGAAGGTGGGTTCATCCATCCCTAAGCAAACGTCAAGGGTGTGGCTTTGGGAATGGAGCGGCCTTAAATCTACAGGTCAGTTGTCCCACCCAAAAGAGTTGCCTACAATCCAGCGAGGCGATTAGTCACTATGTCCGACAGGCCAGTTGTCCCACCCAAAAGAGGTACCTACAATCCAGCGATGGGATTAGTCACTATGTTCGATGGTTGAATCCCTGGGTATACCACCCCCACCCCTCAATTGCCATATTTTGGGTGAGTTGTGACAGCGTTCACCTTGCAAAGTTGACCATAGTCCACAGAATAATTTGCACTTCTCAATCATTATACCGTGAACCCTTGTCTAAAGGGCTAATTTTGAATTCTATTTTTATTTTGGACAACTATTAAGAAATCCGACTCCACTGGGGATCAAACCAAAAATCTCTGGTTTCGTAGACCAGCACATTATCCATTGGGCCATGGAGTCTTGATGTTAAACAAAACCCTTTCAACCTGGGGGTGTGGTTGAATGGAAGGTGGGTTCATCCATCCCTAAGCAAACGTCAAGGGTTCGATCCTTGGCTTTGGGAATGGAGCGGCCTTAAATCTACAAGTCAGTTGTCCCACCCAAAAGAGTTGCCTACAATCCAGCGAGGGGATTAGTAACTATGTCCGACGGTTGAAACTCCGGTTATACCACCCCCAATTACTATCTCAGCGTTCACCTTGTAAGGTTGACCTTAGTCCACAGAATAATTTGCACTTCTCAATCATTATACCGTGAACCCTTGTCTAAAGGGCTAATTTGCTTTGGACAACTATTAAGAAATCCGACTCCACTGGGGATCAAACCCAGGATCTCTGGTTTCGTAG